GATTTCCCCAAATATGATCATTTATCTTGCATTGGTATTATTGTTGGCTTCAAAGATGGCGATATTGAAGTAAAATGGGCTACTGGTGTTACAAGCATGGTAAGGGAACTCTTCTTTCTGTTCTTTTATTTTTCAGGGGTTAAATCCTATCTATTTTTCTGTCACTTTGTTTCCCAAAGCTGAAAGTGAGCATGACTTTTAACCTGTTTGGAAATTCAAAAGGATACTTACTGTTAATTGACATTAGCACTCACGCTTTCCTACAATCATTTGATTATTGTCTTTTTACATTATTTTTGAAATTCGACATATTTTGGCTTAAAGTTGATAAGAGGAAAGAGCTTGAAATTTGTAACCAAAAGGGTTTATTTTTTAAGGAGTATTGTTCACATGGTAAATGTTGAAAGTAACAAATAATGTATCAAGGGCTAAAATATTTTGAGAAACTTCTTCCTAATCTTTTGTTTATGCCTTGAGCTGGCTCAAATCTTGTCTTTATTAATATATGCTCATCAGGTTGCACCCTTTGAGATCTACCGGATAGATAAATGTGAAGCTGCTGTTTCCATTACTGCATCCAATGCTGAAAATGCTGAGCCATCAGGTGTGGAGATCTGTTCAAATGAAAGTCAACTCTCAAAGCATGAGGAGGAAAAGGTCAGTCTAATTGCCTCCCTGTGTGTTGTGCCTTCGCTGTGATTGCAAGATCATTTGGCATCTACACTAAAAGGCAGCTTATATTGCATAGATTTTCACTAGATATTAGGTATCCTTATTTTCTTCAACTTCTTGTGTGAAAGTTTGACAGAGTTCATTTTTTTTTTATATTCAGGGCTTGCTGAAGTTTGGTGGCAATAGTGAAAGTTGCAATGAGAGCTTGTGGGATTCTGGTTCCTGTTTGGTTTCTCGAACTGCTATTGGCTTTTTCTCTAGTATCACCTCAAGTCTTTTTGGCTCCTTGAGCACTTCACTGTTTGGTGCATACCAAACTATATCAGAAGAAGGCCAGAAATCAAGGATTGTCGATGAGGAGGAAGTCATAGAACTTAGCCATCTGAATGCAGGAATTCCCACATTTGAGGACTTGAAGGCTTCACCTGAAATGGAACTAGAGCAAGGACAGGAAACAACTGAGGGCCAAAAAGATGATGCTTTGCCATCTTCCAGCAAGCTGCCTGAACATTTTAGACAGTTTGATGTGGTCACCGATTTCTCAGACCACCATTTTGCAGATGGTGCTGGAAAGGCCCAGTTATCCCAGGTTCAAAATACTTTTTGTTTTTCCCAAATGAACATGTCTGCTCAGTGTTCTTTTTTACGACTCTCTTTTCCGTTCTTTAATCTTTCTATTACTTCACAGGTGAGAAGAGGTTGGCTGAAGAAGGTCCAGCAAGAGTGGAGCATTTTGGAACGTGATCTTCCTGGTGAGAATTTCAACCTATTTTTCTGTTCAAGTATGTCTAATGATGTGATATCTACATTCTGCTATAGTTTTCTATATCTACTGATGTTTCTGACAAGTATAAGTCATACCGACTAGAATTTTAATACCTGAAATATTGTTCATCAGTAGCTTATGGAATATGATAAATATCAGTTGTTCTGGATTTCATGTACTGAAGGCAAATGGTAATTCCTTTGGTAGGGCAGTCCACAAGTTTTGTGTTTTATCTGTGCATCAGAGCAAAATGATTGATCTTTTATTCAAAATTCATTTTGTGGGTTATTCCATCAGATCTTTGCAAGAAGAACAGCCAACAAATTAGTTTTTTATTTGATGTTTCTGATATTATGTGCCAATTGTTTAGTTTTTGCTGTTTGTAACGACCCCTCCACCACGTATCAATTTCTTAAGAAAGCTCCCTTCTCCTTCTCAAAAACGAAAGTTCCCTTCTCCTTAATTCAATGTTGGTTGATAGCTGTTAAAAGTTAATGACTTTCACCCAGGAAGGGAGAAAGTTCCGAGTGATGATAAGTGGTACGAACATCAACCAACTGAAAAATTCCAACTTTAAGTTTGGAAAAAACAAACAAATTATTGCTCAATTAGGAAAACGTTTGGGGGAGGGGCTGAGATATAGACCCTAAATATACCACAACTCGACTGTGCTAAATCTTTTTTCTTTTTTGGGATAAAGCTGCATAATATCTGATTGTATCAACAAGAAACCACTTTATCATTGAATATATGGTTTACAGTGCATTTCTTTGGCTATTTATCCCCACTGACTTTATTAAAACTTAAAACAGAGACTATCTATGTACGCATCTATGAGGAAAGAACCGATTTGATTCGAGCTGCCATTATTGGTGCACCTGCGACTCCGTATCATGATGGAATCTTCTTCTTTGATATTTACCTACCTCCGGACTATCCTCATGAGCCACCTGTAAGTAAATCTCTATAGCTTGTGGTGTTTATCTGTAACATGATGCACAAGTAGTTGCCTATTTCCACAATGTTCTGATTGATAGACATGAGCCTTGCCTTCAATTGGAATCTGAAGTCATATCATATATATTCATTAGATCTTACGCATTGTTAGGCATCCAATTATCCAACTCCACCATCCACTTGTAAAATTCATCTGTTTCGTGTTTTATAAGATCAGGCATACACTTTCCAGATAGAGCTTATTTAGATTTTGCAAAAATGAAATTGTGCAGATGGTCTACTATCACTCTGGCGGGCTTCGTGTCAATCCGAACCTGTATGAGTCAGGTAAGGTTTGCCTTAGCCTCTTAAACACATGGGCAGGCTCTGGAAACGAAGTGTGGAACCCCAAAAGTTCCACGATTCTACAAGTTCTCCTCTCTCTTCAAGCTCTTGTGCTCAATGAAAAGCCTTATTTCAATGAGGCTGGATATGATGCACAGATTGGTAAAGCTGACGGTGAAAAGAACTCCGTCAGCTATAACGAAAATGCTTTCCTTGTTACCTGGAAGTCCATGTTATACCTGCTCCACAAGCCACCCAAGGTAAATGATTTATATTTGAAGTTTTCAATCTTTTTCATGTCATGTTTAGATTTCAGATAAAAGATGTACAGAAGAGACTAAGAACTGGAATTTGGATTCTGGCAACATATAATTCCAAGAGTTGATTTCTCATATGTTCACTCTATTAATACTTATTATCTCAGAAAGTCACTTTCTTTGTTGAAGAAAATTGGAACAAGAAGAAAAATGACTTTCTGATCTATTAACTATTAGTTGATTGACCATATGAGAAATCAACCTAAAGTTATAATTACCACCAAGAATTTTTTATACTCCAACAATAGAAGCACTTTCCTTTTACTCTGAAAGTTTCTGAATTGCTTGGTCAATTCTTCTGCAGCATTTTGAGGCACTTGTGCTAGAGCACTTTGGTAACCAATGGAAAAACATTTTGTTGGCTTGTAAGGCGTACATGGATGGCGCACCAGTTGGTTCTGCATTTCAACCCAAGAACCAGGACCAAGAACCGATAAAAGGAAGCTCTACTGGATTCAAGATTATGCTTGGCAAGCTTTACCCTAAACTCGTGGAGGCATTTTCCGACAAAGGTATTGATTGCAGTCAGTTGTCCGATTAAGAGTAAGCTATGCACCTCTGTAATAAAAACTTTATCAATAATCTACAATTTCAGTATTTGAACTGGCCTTGATGTGGCTGTTGCTATGTTAATTTTGAAGTGTGCAGCTGTGTGTTGTGTGTGTGAGAGAGTGAGGGGGGTGGGGGTGACTATTTGAACCATAATTGTGTACATATGCATTGCAATTGTAACATATTATATAAGCTTGAATAAATGGTTGAACCTTGTGAGTGATGTTTACTATGTTCTCCAGTCGTTTTGAACTTCTTGTTTCAATATGTTTTATATCAGGTCTCCATTTTGTGTTTTGCTTCTTTTTTAAAAAAATGCATTGTTTTCACACTATGTTAGACTGTCTACATCACACCCTTTGGAGTGCAACCCTGCTAACGCCAGATGCTTTGGGCACAGGGATGATGCCCTTTTACTCCTTGTCACAACTCACAAGAGTGGCTGAGAACTCCTAAGCTTCTACTCTCTTTTCCCCTTATCTTGTTAGATTAAAATTTTACATGTTGGCAATAGTGACATACAATATAATTTTTCAACAATAATTTACCTTCTAGTATATATAACATTTAATCGTAACAAAAATTTAACCATAATAAATACTTGTCAATTGAGGTAAGGAATCACAAAATATTTTTCCCTTAAAAATTGTTCAATGTCAACTAATTCTCGAAAGAAACGAAACATGATAAATATTTTGGAATAAACAATCTTTTAAAATTGTTCACGCTTCTCTCTACACAAACGTAAATGTGTCTTATGATATAATACTACAAAAGACTATGACAAATAACATGTATCTAATATAAGCACAATGATGAAATTATACGTTATTGCCGTCTTTCTTTTTGGGGTGACAATAAAGTGTCCTGCTATTATCTTACTGGAAATTGGATCATTTCACCTATATAAATATATCGACTAATTCGAGCATTTTAGTATAAACGCAAAAAAAAAGAAAAAAAAAATGTCTTTTATTTACTATTAAATTCAAATCCTAACTAACAACAATAACATATTCATTATCTAATAAAATTTCATAAGTGAGATCTAAGGAGGTGGAAGTAAAGAAATTGTTTTCAAAAACCTTCAACTCGCGTACATCAAATTCAAATATAAAAAAAAAGTAGAAATATAGCAACTACATCATGAACAACAAGGTAGTGCCATAATTACTTTCTTATTTTAATTTCTCATTTAGTGTTCGATATATATCAGTCCGACTATTCTAAATGCGCACCAGATAAAATCCCCCTATTGAAAGATAGCGATTCTAGTAGCCACATTCACTTCACCACATCTTTGACGGTGGGTCATAATTACTTTCACATTAGAATTTTTTAATTTAATGACAATTAATACTATGGGGGGGAAAATTCCAAAAGGGGAGACAAAAAGGAAAAAGAATTACGTGTATTCTTTTCTGCAATATATATTGATCAACCATTGAAAGTCTCTACGGTATCGGTATGCTCCTTGAGCACTCCATAGCAATGGAGAATTCGTCAGCTCCATCTTCATTACAAAACCCTAGTTCAAGATTCAAACTTTCCATCTTTTCAAGAACCCAATTTCTCAAATTCCAATATGGTCATCTTATTCTCTTTATTTTCGTATTTTCCCTTAACTCCTCCGTTATCGGTGGAGTTTCATATCCTCCTGAATTTCCTCAGATCCCATACCCACAATACTGTAACGACGTCGTTCCGAGCACCCCTTTAGCCCAAACTTTAACCCCTTTTAACGCTACATCGTTTTTTCTCACTCTTACCAACGCGTACATACACGCGCCGGCTGGTAATGCCGGGAAATTCAAGCCGAAAACCCTTAATTACTACACAGAGAATGTTTATCCGACCCAAAATGGTAAAATATTTAAAATTGAGGGTGGTTTGAGGTTTGCAGGAAGAATTGGTCCGGAGTTTTTCGGTGAATTTGTACACCGGCGGCAACTTCGGCTAGTTTATCACCGGCCACCAAGGTTTCCTACCGGAGGCTTCGGGAATTCGAGGGAGATTCGGGCTTCCGGTTTCTGGGATTCGGGTACTGGAAAGCTTTGTATGGTCGGATCAGGTTTGAGGAGGTTAAGTTCTATTAATGTTGTTCTTAAGTTGAATTATTTGAATTCATCTGATATTTTGCATAGTGTGGTTAATGGTACATTGGAAAGAATTGATGTGAATGATAAAAATGCATATACTAAGCCTGTTGAAATATTTGGTACGTCTTTGAGGAATTATGTTTATACTTTGATTGATAAAGAGGTTGAGAATAATGGGTTTAGTGAATTTGGTGATTGGTCTGATGTTTCGCTGGGAATAGATCAGGATAGCAGCTTGTGTTCAGTTATAGGTCGTGCCGGGACTATGGAAATGATGTATTTGGGTAATTGTAGCAATGGGAATTGCGATTTTCTTGGTGGTAATTTGTCAAATTTTAGGCCGACCTCGATGTGGTTTAATGCTATTGAGTGTGGGGATAATGGAAGAGGGAGGTTCTTGTTAAGTTTTGGTGATGGTGTGCACACCCGGCCAACTAATTTGATAAATCAAACAATAGTTGCTGAAGGGAAGTGGAATGAGAAGACAAAAACAGTTGACATGATTGGTTGCCGGATTTTCAATGGAAGTGATGCAGCTGAAAAGGGTTCTGTGGGGGATTGTGTTGTGAGGCTGAGTTTGAGGTTGCCTAAGCAATGGACCTTGAAGGAGAGAAGTGTTGTTGTTGGGGAGATTTGGAAAAGAAAAGACTCAAATCAGTCAGGTAATTATGGTAAAGTAGTCTTGCACAGCGTAAGAAATCTGGTTAACAGAATTGATGGATTGACATATGAGTATACTGTGATTGATAATGTGACGAGGTCTTGTGCCAAGGCACTGACTTATAAAGGGAAGGGAGGGAAGTATCCTGATGTACATTCATCTGATATGAGATTTGATATGACGGTGAGGAACAGGAAAAAAATTGATATTTTCAGTTATTCATCTCCATTGTCTGTGGGGGATAAGTTTTACCGGGATGTGTCTGGTTCTACTGTTCAAGTGAACGACAATCAAAGCACTGTGGTCAATATAAGCTATGTGCTGCACTTTGTTGCTCCATCTCAGTTCTTGTACAGTGATGAGCATACTCCTTTGACAATTGAAATTTCTGCTGAGGGATTATATGATTCGAAGAGTGGACATCTTTGCATGGTTGGCTGTATGTATTTTTCATCACGTCGTGAGATTTTACAGAGAAATTCTTCGTTAGACTGTGAAATTCTAGTTAATATTCAGTATCCTCCTTTGAATGCTAAAGTTGCCCATGGTGTTAGAGGTACCATTGAGTGCCTGAGGAAAAAGTCTGATCCTCTTTACTTTGAACCCTTGGAGCTTATATCAAATTCCGTCTACATTGACCAAGCCAAAAATTCCATGTGGAGAATGGATCTGGAAATGACCATGGTTCTAATTTCCAATACACTTGCATGCATCTTTGTGGGTCTGCAGCTATTTTATGTGAGAAAAAACCCAACTGTGCTTCCATTTATCTCTGTTGTCATGCTAGTTGTACTCACACTTGCACACATGATCCCTCTGTTGCTGAACTTTGAAGCTCTGTTCTTGGTCAACCGGGAGAAGCAGAATGTTTACTTTGGTAGTGATGGATGGCTTGAAGTAAATGAGATTTTAATTAGAATCATGACGATGATAGCATTCTTGTTGGAATTCCGTCTTCTTCAACTCACATGGTCTGCAAGAGCAGGTGTTGAGAGCCCCAAAAATTACTGGATATCAGATAAAAAGGTTCTGTATTTGTCTTTGCCAATGTATATTTGTGGTGGATTGATTGCTTATTTTATCCATCTGTCAAGAATGCCTCACCAGTTGAAGCTTCGATTGTCGCCTCGTTTTCATTACCAACAGCAAACTTTCTGGGTTGAGCTTAAATCATATGCCGGTTTGATCTTGGATGGATTTTTGCTTCCTCAGATTCTGTTCAATTTATTCTGCAACACCACTGAGAGGGCTCTCACCCCTGGTTTCTATATAGGAACTACCCTTGTGCGCCTAATGCCACATGTATATGATCTTTACAGAAGTCACAGCAATGCGTGGTCGTATGATTACATATATGGAAACCCGAAAATGGATTACTATTCCACTGCTTGGGACATCATTATCTGTTGTGGGGGTCTGCTGCTTGCTGTTCTCGTTTTCTTGCAGCAGAGATTTGGGGGCCGTTGTTTTCTTCCCAGAAGATGTAGAGATAGCTCCACGTATGAGAAAGTACCTGTAATCAGCACCGAGTCAATTACAGAAGCATGAACTGTCTGTAGAAATTTTATCCTTGATTTCTGAAGAAACTTTCATTTCTCCTGTCACCAGTTTCATTAGCTTTCAACACTAGCGATTTATACGTCAAAGATTGTATAGATGAAGTATTTACTTTAAGCCTGCTAAAGAATGAACATCTGGCAAAGACTATATGTTTCTATATATTGTTAGTTAACTCTTCTTTCAGATACTATCACTATGAACATTTTGAATCTAAGTGGGACTTGTATATTTGGCCCTCATATTATCCTTTAAAGTTTTCTTCCCTTCAACAAAATTATCAATTTCTTTTTCTAGTGAGCTCATTTGCAGTCTAGACCTTGCTGAGATAATCGTGACAATCTCTGACCTTGTATGTTTCGCCGCCGATGCATTGGCAGGTTTCTCCAGTACACTGCGCAGTCAGGCTTATCACATAATAGGAATAAACTGAAGTAGTCGGTTGTTTTTGTAAGAGATTAGATGGCACCTCTTCTCCTTCACAGGTGGCTTTGGACTGAGTTGGGGAAAGGAAGGATATGTCTGAGAGGTTGATTACTTGGAAAATGTAAGTGCAACTGAGTAGATTAGCCCAAAATGGAGTAAGCCTCTGTAATTATGCTAGCCAACTAACATTTGCACGTACAATTCAATCTCTCTTTACTACTGAAAAAATAGAGAAAAAACAAACAGCTGCAAGCTCAGTAGCCAAACCATAGTTGGTGAACAGTCCACTGCAGTCCATTAACCCATCAAAGAAAAATACGCATTATTGTGTTATTATCAGAAGCAAATATGCCATTTACATGCGGCCATATGTACATTACTACAAAATTGGAATCGTGGTATCATCTAACCATGACTCCTGAACCTGCTATCCATACTAAGACTAAAACTAAGAAGAAAAGCCCCAACTGCTCCACATCCGCTTAGTTAAACTGGTGCAAACCTGCAATGTCATAAGTGGTAATTGAATTACATCAAGCTTCATTAGTTGCAATTTTCCTAAATAAAATGGTAAATTGTTGCACATAAATAGAGACCCTTCATGGTTATTGGTGTCCACTTGTTGAGAAGAATCGGCTGTGAAACTTTTTTTAGGGAAGTGCTGTGTTTTCCGCATGTAGATCAGCTGATTCAAGAAGAAAGATGGTAGTATAGCAGAATTTAGTAAGAGCGAAAAGGGGAAAAGTTAGGTCCTGAGGTGTTTTAAGCTTTCAAAATTTGTAGCTTCAGGTAGCAAATCGACAACAAGATGGTTCATTAATTACACATGACTGCAAACGAAACCAGAAAACTAAACGAGTTAACTGTCTAGTAGTTCTTTTAGAGGTAAGATGGAGTGTACTAATGTCGATATCATATGATAGAAGACACAAGAACATTCCAAATCTATAGCAACCAATGAGTGTGTAACCAATTGGTAAGACATCTGATTCATTGTCAGCTTTCAGGCCCAGAAAAGATGGTAGAACAATAAATTATCAAGTAGTATCGTCAAACTTCCTAGCTAACTGAGAGGTTGTTGAGTATCATGGTGTCAAAGGTGCTAACTGTTGATGACATTATCATCACGCAAAGAATGACTTGAACATTAGGAGCTGATCAGTCAGATCAAAATTTTTAGCCGTCAATGTAGAAATTTTGACCATCCTCCCTCCCAGCCAACCGAAAACTAATATAACCTAAAATTACCCATATATACAACCCAAAAATAAATAAAGCAATAACCACACAGTTGTAAGTAGTAAGGAGAATACACAAAAGAAGTCGTATTAACCTCGTCGACTTGGTAGACTGAAGAACAAGAGGGTACCCCAGGCTGAGTAGAAGGCACAAAATCAAATTCCTCATCCAAGAGCCCACGAAAAAATGAAGGAGCTTATCAAGAAACACAGCCTATATAATCTACCTAGAAAAGAGATGCACATGCCTCTGAAATTAACTTGTTCCTGCAATCAACAGAAAAGTTAACTAAAACAAGCATGATCGTTGAAAATCAGAATCTCAAGCATTAAAAAATATATTGATAAGAGCCCCCAAGGCCTAGCTTGAGTGGCAAAAGGTGGAGGATTTGTGACTCGAGTCGCAGGTTCAAGCCCACACCATGCAAAGCGAAGCCCGGTATTTAAGTGGAGAAGGGTAGAGGGGTGGGCCCATTATCCACCGAGTTTAGAAGGCTGTGATTGGTCCAAAGGGCGGCGGGTCACTTTCTCGGTTATCAAAAAAAATAAAAAATAGCACATGATCTTTGAATGTATGACCTATTGAGGTGTACCAAATGATTTAATTGATGTACTTAGCCACCAGCACTGAGGATGTGCAACATCAGGACATTTACAAAAAGGAAAAACTTAGCTTCTAAACTGCTGTAAGAATCTGACTATTTCTAACATTTTCTCAGCTTGGTGTGCATCATATATTTGGCACCACAAAGCCTAAGATGCCTAATTCTTTTACCTCAAATCAGAGTTCATGGAATTATAATCTCTTTAGGCCCCTAACAATACCCCACCCATCCTGGGACCTTCAATCAAAAAAAAATCTTTTGTTCCTTTTCTCTTTTTTGGTGAGAAGGGTGAAAATTCAAGAGTTATTTCCAAACAAGTCATTCCTTACTTAGTGACTTGACACCAGTTAGCAATGTCATAAGTGGTAACTGAATTACATCAGGCTTCATTAGTTGCAATTTTCCTAAACAAACTGGCAAATTGTTACACATAAAAAGAGACCCTTCATAGTTATTGGCATGCACTTGTTGAGAAGAATCAGCTGTGAAACTTTTTTTAGGGAAGTGCTGTGTTTTCCGCATGTAGATCAGCTGATTGAAGAAGAAAGATTGTAGTATAGCAGAATTTATTAAGAGCGAAAAGGGGAAAAGTTAGGTCCTGAGATGTTTTAACTTTCAAAATTTGTAGTTTCAGGTAGCAAATCGACAACAAAATGGTTCATTAATTAATAATTACACGTGACTGCAAGGGAAACCAGAAAACTAAATGAGTTGCACTGTCTAGTAGTTCTTTTAGAGGTAAGATGGAGAACTAATGTCGATATCATATGATAGAAGACACAGGGCAACCAATGAGTGTGTAACCAATTGGTAAGACATCTGATTCATTGTCAGCTTTCAAGCCCAGAAAAGATGGTAGAACAATAAATTATCAAGTAGTACCCTCAAACTTTCTAGCTAACCGAGAGGTTGTTGAGTATCATGGTGTCAAAGTTGCTAACTCTTGATGACATTATCATCAAGCAAAGAATGACTTGAACATTAGGAGCTGATCACTCAATATGGTGTAAATTCTTGATCTTTTTGGTGAGAAGGGTGTAGATTCAAGAGTTATTTTCAAACAAGTCAATATGGTGAACATTAGTGACACCATATTGTAAATTCCTTGCTTAATACTCTTTTTGGTATATCAAATACATAATTTGGATGTGAAAATTCTGTCCTCTAAAAATGGAAATGTTGAATGAATTGATCATAAATTATGAGATTTGAAAATCTTTTTGCCTTCGAAAGAAGATATTAATTGTAGAGAAAAGGAATTTCCACAGTAAATGCAAATCCCTCTACAAGTATAATTTTAGCCCATCTTACAAAAGCTTAGAAAAGAATGGGAGGTTTGGGATGGGGGTTCCACTAACAGGATACTGATATTATAAACATCAACATTTTGCTTTGCTATTCACAGCAGAAAACATGTCAGGGAAGGCGTTATTCAAATCATTAAGAAAGAAATGTGATAAGAAAAAATAAGGGTAAACTAAAATGTGGACTAGGCAAGTGAATTAAAAGAAATAAGACTTTTGGAAATTGTGGTCTTAAACATGTCATGATATTTGTGTAGCTATAAAATCATGTCATTAAGGATAAAATAGAAGGTTTAAAGTTAGACTGTTCCAAATATATAAATAGGCCATTCTCTTTGGAAGTTGGAACAGACTAAAAAGGAAATAGTGTCACATAAGATATTATAAAGGGAGAAGTACTTTATCTGCATGTTATACTCTTGAAATGCAAAGACTTCCTAACCTCATTAGCATTCATCTTAGTCTTGTTTCACTAGAAAAGCATTTAAGTCCAGCAGATATAAAGGTAGCAAATATATTCTCAATGGATCTGTTTCTACATCAGCACTATTCAGAACTATTAAATCTCTGCCAAGAAAGCACTGCAGATTAACCAGTCCAAAACAGCCTAACAAGCAGTGGACAAAATGTCAAAAGTAAGAACGTCCGCTTTTTTTTGGGTTCTTTCTCAAGTAATTCAGTCAGTTCCATCATGTTGTAGATAGAGTCATGTTGCTGGCCTCATAAACAACAGTGCACCAAAGGCCTCTCATACAGAGATTATTATCACCTTTAATAAAGGTTAATTAAATTGGATTTCATCTAAGCCACTATGAATTTAAAGTTGGTTTAATTGAATCAGATCACTATAAATTTGGACAAAAAAACAAGTCATTTAACTACTTTAAAAGGTACCAACAGATATATGTAGCATGTGAATTAAAAGCTACACTTCCAATCATACAATAAATAGAAAAAACAACCACCTAAAATTAGGGTATCACCTCACATTATGAAGTTTTGCCTGTGAGGATACGAGAAATCTGAAGGCCCCTGCTGAAAGCTTCATTAAATAATATCCTTGTCTGCATGGATTGAAAACCAGGCATCCATGATAGAAATGCCAAAGGAGCCATAACAATTAACCCAAGCATCATGTCATATAACCGAGCCAATGACACAACAGTGCTCCAAACCAAAGTAGACTGCAAAAAGGGCCGGAGCACTAGGGCAATTTGGATTATGCCCCATCCAGTTGGAATAAATGCCAACAAACTTGTGATCAAGTCAAACAGCGTAAACAGGGTGAACCTCAACAATATAACAATCACCAATACCGTGACCAGAATGACAAGCAACTGCACCAGGCGATAATATATGTGCCTCTTCATGGCATATTTATCCTTTGCATATGCAATGGCAATGTAAATTGCCACAGCGGCGACCATAATAATCCAAGACAGCAAGTAAACACCAATACTGGTTTTACCACCAGCAATACGCAATTGATACACAATTCCATATTGAAAGAAGAAGAAACGAAGATCTAAAATAATCTCAAGCAATTTTCCCCAGAGACCAGTAGTTCTCAAGTGGTCCTGTTCTTCATACCACCATGTCTCCCAACTTTGATCTGCTCTTACAAAAACTCCTCGATTGTACCAAATCCAATGCATGAAA